AACCAAACGAAGATAGTGTATAGAATCGGTATGACGATGACAAAAAGGGCAACATGTATTTTTTTAAGTCGATGCCACACTTATCTGGATTAACATTAAGCGACAGATTCTTCAGTAAAGGCACTACTTGACCACATTCACCTTGGTATCCACCTGGTCATTATTGGATTAGACACGAGAATTTAGGAATATATTTCTAACCTAATGGACTTAACTAAGAACTTTTTCTCACCTTCCAATTCCCATACCTAGGTAGACCTGTCAATGGAGCGGGTTTGGAGCGAATCACTCTTGATCCAAACCCGTTTAAAAAAATAAAAACATGACCCGCCCCGCTCCAATAACCCTCAGGGTCTTGAATAGTCGAATCCATACCGGTATCCACCGAATCAACGAATACCCGACCCATTAACCCGACCCTTTTATAATATTAAATTTTCATAATTTTTATGTGTTCCACAAAGTAATATTTCTCAAAAAGATAAAATGTCTACTTAAACAAGATATACATTAATTAATACTCAAAGTCCAATACAATAAAAATCATATTTTACTTAGACATCGAGTGGTATATTTTGTTGTCATATATATATATATATATATATATATATATATATATATATATATATATATATATATATATATATAATGGGGCGGGTTATAAGTGGAGCGGATCGACAATGATCCATACCCGACCCATTTATTAAAAGGGTAAACGGGTATGGATCATAAACGGGTAAACGAATCGAAAATTACAATCCAAACCCGTAAAATTCTTACGGGTTTGGAGCGAATCAGGGTTAAAACCCGCCCCATTAAGAGGTCTATACCTAGGTATCCTTCTTATTTATGTATAGTTCGACGTTTCTCAACACTTCCATAACAAAACCCAATTCCTCACTTCCATAAAAAAACGCACGTCTTCTCCATGTCAACTCTATTTTTTATATAACTCAAACCATTTTTTCTAGTAATACACCGAACTTTAAATATTTAATAAAACATAATCAGAAATGTTTTTCTACAAGGTAATAATCAAATTACTATGTAATTTTGTCAAATATGAATCGGTAATATTATCTAAAATTATATACTATAAATTTTTTGTCTTCCTGTTATCTTATGACTGTATTTTTTAAAAATTTTCTTTTGTATAAAAATTTATGTCTATCAATTATCAAGTCGCTCATGTTTTGCATTTTTTTGTCACATTTGTTTCTTTCAAAGTTATTTAGCCTTTACTCATTAGGCTAACCGGTATGGGAGGCATTTCACGCGTCTTGGGCTGAGGTGGCATGCCTCCCCACACATGAATACCGCCCCCAAGTCCAATGGGGTGCGCGTGACGTGGCTCCGGAGACGGGACGAGACGACCAATGGAATTGCTGAAACGGCTATATGACCGTTTATACATAAAAAAAAATTACTTTTTACAATTTAAACACAACCATCTACACCTATAAATTATCCAATATTCTATTTACAATTTACACTTCAAAAAACACTATATTTCATCACCTTCTACAAAAAAAACTCATCTCTCATATTTTTTTTTTCTCTCTACATGGATTCAAATCCAAACACCCCAAACACTTCAAATGCAAATGTTAGCTACATGCAATTGTTAACCTCCCCAATCCAACAACAACCTCTATTCACCACTTCACACCCCCAAAACTTCTACCAACAACAACCACAACAATTCAATCAACCCCAATTCCAAGCCTTTCAACAACCGCCTTCTCAACAATTTCAACAAACTTCTTTTACACCTCAACAATTTCAACCATCTCAAGTCCCATTATCTCAATCTCAACCTATAAATCTCATAATGACGACGACGACGAACGGGTCCAAGAAACACAACAACCAACTCGTCGAAGGCAAAAAAAAAAACAAAAGATCCAAGAAAAAAAAACTACCGCATGGAACGAAGACGAGGAGGAAGCTTTAGCAAAAGCTTGAATTTTCATATCGCAAGGCGGGGATGTCGCCAACTCGCAAACGGGTCAAAGTTTTTGGTGTCGTATTTTAGATCATTTTCATGCGTTATTAGGAAAGAAAACGGAGCGGACGTACGACTCGATCAACGCAAAATGGCGTGATTTACGAGCGGCTTGCACCAAATTCAATGGCATATTTGACAAACTTAAAAACATGCATAGAAGTGGTAGCAACGACTTCAACATTTTAGTGACCGCGGCCTACGAATACAAAATTACCACCAATGGTAAACCGTTTGGCCACCAAAAAGCGTTGGAAGTTTGTCGTAACGGTCCAAAATGGGGTCTATATCCGGAAATGGTGCATTCGGGATCTACAACCGGTTCCAGCAAAAGGGCAAAAATGTCCGAGTCGGACGTGGGTTTTGGACTCGACCTCAACGATGACTTCGACGCCACCGAGGGGGAGGGCCCACCGGACGTCCAACTTCGTCGACCACCGGGAAGGGACAAAGCGAGAAAGGGAGCGTCTTCAAGCGGAAAAGCACCGGCAACTTACGAAGGCGAGCTTGTGACATCCATAGATAAAGCTCTAGTTTTTCTAGAAAAAAAAATATGAATCGTCGGAGGCAACTAATCGCCAAAAAATAGCTCTTACCGATCTTCAAATCATAAACACAAAGCCCCAACCGGATCTCGACCCGGAAAATCTTGCGACCTTTTCTTAAAATTCAACGACAAGTCTGGGATAACTATGGAGTTTAGCTTCTAATATTTATGGTTTTAAGTAATCTAGGATTTTATTTATGGTTTTAAGTAATTTAGGATTTTAATTTTTTTAAGAATTTTAGAATTTTAATTTGTGTTTTTTATATTAATGTAATGTGTTTTTAATTTTAATGTAATGTGTGTTTTTTATTTAAATTATGGTTTTATTTTAAATTATGGTTTGTATTTTCTTTTTTATTTAATATAATGTTAAAAAAAAAGAATTTATGGAGTGGTAACCATTTTCAATGTTTATTGGGTTGGTGGTGGGTTGGGTGTGAAACTGACGTAGCGCACATGTGGCAGCACTTTTTCGATGGGATGAGTGTGACCACTCTCCAAAGCATTATTGCACAGGGTTTGGCAATAAACTGCATATGTTGGTGTGCAAAGCTAGCATATGTTCTAGACTAACAAAAATGATATCAGTAGATTTATGATATTTATTTATAGACTAAAAAAACTTTTTTTAATGAAAATTTCAATTACCATTGATATTTGGATAATCCATGCACAATTATTGATATTTCAATAACAGTTGCATTAAGTTGAATGCCAATTTGACATTCAGTAGATTAAATTATATAATTACTATACCATGTTAACATGGGCGGCTCAAGCATTTTGGGGGCTCTAAGCGAGCTAAAAATTTGGGGCCTTTTGGCCTTTACTATACTCGGATTCGAAAACGGATGAGATGAATATTTCGCAAAAATCAGAATCAGTAGAAGAATGCAAAGTCGTTTCAGTTTCATGAGTGCAGCGATCGTTGATTTATTCTTCTGCTTCATTTATTTTGTGGTTACTGGATTGGATTTTTTAATGGACTAAAGCTTTGGACTTCGGAGAATATAGGGCCCCTTAGAATTGGGGGCCCTAAGCCCTACCTTAAAAAACCTCTACATAGAATCGGCCCTGCATGTTAAGTTTAATTGTTATTGAACTCTATATCATAAACTAAATTTTATAAATATGAAAAATGAAACCTTTTATAATTTAATATATTTTAGAAATAAATAAATAGAGTTCTATATTAATAACAATGATAATATGATAGTTATTAAACTTTAATACGTTAAATGATTTATGAATTTACATATAATTTATGTTTAAAATGTTGTATGGTAAACTCTATAAACCATAAATTATTGTTTATAGAAAAAAATTGTTGTGTACTACTCACTTCCCATAGTTATGGATGCTGTATAGATTTAAAGAAGATTGAAGAAAATTTTGAGTTCACGCAAATTACATCAAAACTGAAGAAATCTTTAAATCTTGGTGAAATATGGAATAGCGTTATCACATAAGAATAAATTTGAGGCCCATATCCCATGCATGAGACTTTTAGAGGCCTTTTCCTGGGTTGTTTTCAGCCTTCTTTAACTCAGAAATTCTTGTGCACATTTACCTATTCACAATCCCATTGTTTTATAAACGTGCTAACCAATTGCTTATTATCATTAGTTTGCCTCAATATATCAGGGTATGTCAAGAAGATGCCACACAAAGCTACTAACTTGGCGGATATATATACATGTACTCTTTTTGCCAAACTTAGTACGTACAGAAAATATATAAGGGGGTGTTATTCAGAGTTTTGATACGAATAAGTGCATTCTTTTGGTTTTGGTACATATAAATAGTTCACTCCATTGATCTTGTTCTCATTAATCATATGCCTCCCAACATGATTGCCTAAACTTAGCAAAGCAACACCGATTAACTAATCATGTGTTATTCATGACATACACACTCCTGACCATTTAAGAGCTAAATTGTGGTCACAGGTTTTGATTTCCTTTTGTCCAATCAATTTAAATATGCTATTTTCATCCATCGATTATTTAGCCTCTTTTTGATCATCTTTTATTTTCTGTATACGTACATATGTAAGTACCTACGTATGGATTCCATAACTTAACGAACTTTATTTTCAAGAAGAAAACAATAAACTGGACCAGTTGCTATTACTTTATTTCCTAGAAAATGACCATCTTAAAGCTATCACTTTCCAATATCCCAATCACATGCAACGCCTTGTGGCCTAACCCTCCCCTATTTATACCTCTGCACACCCTCTCACCCCCTCCACACATTTACATCTTCCTTTAATTCAGTTTCTCTTCTCTCTCTCTCTACTCTTGACCTCTGTCCTATCCATTTCACTTGCCCATACTTGGAAAAAAGAATCTAGACGTATACTGTTGTATTCATTCAATACTTTTGGTCCTTTTGATGCTTTGTTCTTGTAACACTATCAATCTTGATCATCAAAACTTTACAACCATGGTTCATCAAGCTCATGAACATGGAGACTTGTTCTCCCGGAGATGCATACTGGTAAACGGTCCGGTGATAGTTGGGGCTGGCCCATCGGGGTTGGCAGTCGGTGCAGGTCTCCAGCAACAAGGGGTTCCCTTTGTCATCGTTGACCGTGCTGACTGCATTGCTTCCCTCTGGCAAAACAAGACTTACGATCGTCTGACACTTCATCTCCCAAAGAAATTCTGTCAATTACCCTTCTTCCCTTTCCCACCTAATTTCCCTGAGTACCCTTCCAAATATCAGTTTGTTGACTACCTTGAATCATATGCGAAGAAATTTCAGATAAACCCACGTTTTAATGAGTCCGTTCAGTCTGCTAAGTATGACGAGAGCTGTGGGTCGTGGCGTGTGAGGACTGTTGTGGATGATTCTGAGGTTGAGTATATATGTAGGTGGCTGGTGGTGGCAACCGGAGAGAATGCGGAGAAGGTGGTGCCGGAGTTTGAAGGGTTGGATGAGTTTCCCGGCCGTGTTATGCATGCTTGTGACTACAAGTCCGGCAAGGCTTTTGAAGGTGAAAGAGTTTTGGTGGTTGGCTGTGGGAACTCCGGCATGGAAGTTTCTCTTGATCTTTGCCACCACAATGCTTTTCCGTCCATGGTTGTGCGAAGCTCGGTAAGCTTAATAAAAAACAACATAATTCTTTAAATTTACCATATGTTATCTTAAAAATCCAAACTGGAAAGGTTCCTTAATTCTTTTGGTTTGAATCCACAGGTTCATGTCTTACCGAGGGAAACTTCTGGAAAATCAACATTCGAATTGGCATCTTCGTTGATGAAATGGTTGCCAGTAAAGGTGGTGGATAAGATTCTGTTGATTCTTGCTAGGTGTAGTCTCGGGAATTTAGAGAAATATGGTATAAAGAGACCAGTAATGGGTCCAATTGAGCTCAAGAACACTCATGGGAAAACCCCTGTTCTGGATATTGGTGCATTACAAAAGATCAAAACTGGAAAGATTCAAATAGTTCCAGGAATCAAGAAATTTTCAAGTACTGGTGTGGAGCTCGTTAATGGCGAAAATTTAGAAATAGATTCAGTTATTTTAGCAACGGGGTATTGCAGCAACGTTCCTTCATGGCTAAAGGTAACATCTTTAAGAAATTTCAATACCATTAATCATTAATCCCAACAAACATACTTTTATATTTATTTTCTTAAAGGTATATCGATTCATGTGACAGTTATGGAAGTTGGGTTTCCTGTAGATGACTAGATACTCTGTTTTTGTCTACTTGTAGTGTTGGGCTCTGTTTTCTTTTTAATTTATATGAAGTATTGATTTCTTTAAAGAATGTAAAATACCATTTATACCCTTTAGTCTAATGAGTTGTTATTTTGGTGATGACTTCAGGAAAGTGATTTATTTACAAGAGAAGGGATGCCAAAGATGCCGTTTCCAGAGGGGTGGAAAGGGAAATCAGGGTTATATGCAGTTGGGTTCACAAGGAGAGGTCTCTCTGGTGCATCTTTTGACGCCATTAGAGTCTCACAAGACATTGCTAAAATTTGGCATCAAGAAACCAAATCACAAAGCAATCATTATGTCACTGTTTCGTGTGATCGAAGATGTAAATAGATGTAATAACTCGTCCTACATGAATTAAAGATCAGAATAGTCAGCTGAGCTCCCCTTACTTACTTCCACAATGATTATAAATTGATCAAGAACTTATTGGACTAATCTATAACATTAAGCTTGAGGTGTTAGAGTAGATTGGTAGAAGGAACAGAATCGGTTTTTGTGGTCTATTTTTATTTATTTATATTATTATGTTTTGTAACGTGATACACTGACAGATAAGAAAATGTTCTCACGTAGTAAAAAGAGAGAGTAGCCATCTCCGGTTAAAGCCTAGGGTCTTTTGGGGCATTATCTAAAAAGAAAAGGAAGATGAGGGGTTTTTTTTATTTGTTTTAGTTATAGTGTTTTGTATATCAATCTGGTGGTGTAGTCTTTATAAAATAAGCCTAATGGATTTTAGAAAAGAGTTTTGAGATCTTTATTCTTAACTACTTGCAAATCATGGTTATAAAATTAATTAAACTTTCACACTAAAAATTTAAAATTATTAATCAAATATTTTAAATAAATTATTAATTAAGAAATTTTTTTTTAGTTATATAAAAATATAATCGTTGATTTAAATAAATACATTATCTTATAATCTTTATTAATTTTATTTTAATGTTATTAATTTAATGTAATTAGAGCGAAAATATTAAAATTTGAAATGAAAAATCTATAGGTTGACAACTGAAATGACATTAATTAAGAGACCTAATAAAATGACACATGACAAAAAAAAAATAAACATATTTTTTTATTAATATATGAAGATGAAGATGAAAATGAAGATTTTACTGTGTCCGAAGCAAAGTTTATTAAAACTTTTATAGTAGTTTTATGTTTTAACTTTTAAAAGTATGTTCAAATTAGAAAAAAACATTTAGAACTACGAACTTTAATTTTTTTAACTTAAAAATAAAAAGTTAAAACTCAAAAGTTACTTCATAGATTAAAACTATAATTTTTATGTAATTTATACTTTTAAAAATTTACAGTAACTTTCTGAAATGAAATTAATTAAGAGACCTAATAAAATGACACATGACAAAAAAAAATAAACATATTTTTTTATTAATATATGAAGATGAAGATGAAAATAAAGATTTCACTGTGTCCGAAGCAGAGTTTATTAAAACTTTTATAGTAGTTTTATGTTTTAACTTTTAAAAGTAAGTTCAAATTAGAAAAAAACATTTAGAACTACGAAACTTTAATTTCTTTAACTTAAAAATAAAAAGTTAAAACTCAAAAGTTAGTTCATAGATTAAAACTATAACTTTTATGTAATTTATACTTTTAAAAATTTACAGTAACTTTGTGAAACATTTATTTATAACTATCAATTTCCAATTTTCAGCTATCATTTACTAAATACAAGTTATTTTGCTCAAACATACCTTAAAAATTCCTTTCGGTAACGACACTACAATTGGTCCATAATTATATTAAAATAAAAATGGATGGGTTCAAGGACCAAAAGTGATCCAACTATGGTCCCACTTAATGAGGTAGGTCCAGATTTCATTATGCCTCTAACCTTGGCTATTAACCTTTAAATTTAATCTCACGACTCGAGCACCTCTCCTATATGTATGATAAGTTCACATGGGTTCATAGAGAAATAGATATGAAAAGTACAACCCCATCTAAATCCATGGTTAATGGTCGACAAGAAATCTATAAATCAAAAACACAAAATTTATAAATAAATTATAATATTAGTAATTAATCCTACCAATCATTTTCTAGAAATCATAAAAAACTAGCAAAATTATCCAAACAACCATGATTTTTACAAGTCACCACATATGTAAATATGAAAATTTTGCGTCTGCTCATGTACAAAAATTATGAATTTTTGGCAACTTCGACCCGTAATATTTCTATCATACGAATTTCATTTGAGATGATTTTTTTTTATAATCTTATTTGAAACAAGAGGTATCTATAGACATATTACACTGCAAATTTGGATATCGGGAAGTTGTTGAGTATCAAAAATGTTGTGAAGATGTCAAAAGTACGGAGCATGTTGAAATCATCAAAAATCGAAAGTTGATGAAGTCAAAGGACATCGAAAGTACAATCTATATCGAAGTAGCGGTTAGAGCTTGTTAAGCTCCTTTGATATAACTTTTTATTACACGACACATTTTGTACACGTCATTATCTTAGTCCTTGTATTTTCATGATCAGATGTATTCTACATATGTGCCTATATAGTGTGTATTAGTCTTTGTGTTAGGTTTACGAGTCTTTTTCATATGCTCATAACTCTTTGTTATTAGATCTATTAATTGTTGTAATCCTACACCTTGTGATTAATAAGCTAAACTGAATAATTTACATCTTATGTTAATTCATTTTGTAAATTGTTGTTATTACATTCTTATGTGAAAACATCATGAAGTGGTATCAGAGCACGATTCGTTGAACTCTTTGGAGAAATTCTTTCTTATTTCATCATAGACTTAAACTTGTTTTTAAATCAATAATTATGTGATTGAAATTTGTTTCTTCGAAGTTTCTTAAAGTTTATGGATTATGTTTTTCAATTCAATTCAATGACGAATCTCAATACTACTACAATGATCAACTATGCAATTTTCTTGGTTCATCCACAAAAGCTCTTATGTTACTTTTCATATCATTATGATCAATAGTCTAATTGTATGGAAGATTATCTTGCTGGATTAGATGAAGATCTATGGAGGCTAATCAAATAAGGTCCATTCGATCCTACTGTTGTTGGTCGTTTTGGTCCCGAAATCAACAATGAATATGTTATTGCTGCTAACAAAAAAAAAGTTTGAAAATGACAACAAGTGTATGCGAGAATTAAGAGGTGGATTTCTGTGACATCCTCTAAATTTTAGAACCAATTAAAACTTTTCTTTACGCTTATTTTATCATTGGTGCAGAAATTTCCAGTACATTTGAAACATTTTTAGTACAAGTGATTGTCTCAATTTAATAAAATTCCTAAGGATGTTATAATCGATACAAAAACATAAGTTACAACATAAAGACCAAATGGTATTGAACTCTACTGCAGGTTGTCTCTTAATCACTCAACATCCTAATCAAGTACCAATAGCTTAAGTCTTGATACATGTGATGCATATATATACTGGGTGTGCAAGGTTGGGAAACCTGGTGAGATGCATAGGGATTTCAATCCCACAATATTGTTATGATAATATTCTTTAATTATCAGACCTGCAAAATCAATCGTTGCCATACAATATCCATATAGGCTTACATTCTCACATATCCATTCCTATCGATCCTCACACATTATCAGGGAGAAATTATCTCTCTTGATGAACAGTTAAAAAGCTTTACTAATAAGCTATGGGCTTCCTTGGTCGGTGCAGCCATAAAGATATATGGATCATCAGAGTATTTGATGAATATGATATTCTATTTCATTCATGCCTATGAGTAATGAGATCACACCACCAACGTAGTTCACAAGATCATCGAGAATGATCAAATGTTGTCACCTACTCTTGGAGGTGTAGACATACCGTTACAGGTGCCTGATCTGGACCCACGATTTCTGGTCATCCAAAGGGAATACTATAATATATTCCCATCCGTAGCTACTGTACATTGATACCTGAAACTGTCACGGAACAGAACCTTACTCTCCGTTCCAAGCTTATACATATTCTCCTAATGAGACTACCCAATATCAAACTTAATTGAACTAGGTATCTTCCATAAGTCTAAGTTTATCCCTAGACTAGATTACAATTCATGTAACCAACTTCTAACACCAACTCTATTCTTTGGTGACACTAACTTATCCTTAGTGTATCTATATTCCCTAGAGAGTATTAGGTATTATTATTCTTTTATCTTCTCAACAATGCTACTTCTAATATTATTATATAGTATTTATCTATTCATCCTAACATAAAATAGAACCATATTTGGTTCACACATAGCATGGTATATATACATATATCTTAACATATAATCCACACAATAATCATATAAATCACATACGATTTCCAAAAAAATATTTAATACCCTAATTAATACTTATATTAAATCATGTTCATGAAAGGGACTATTCATTCACTTGATAAACTAGGTGATGGCGATTTCAGCAACGCTTCACTTTGCACTTCCAAAGAAACCTAGACGTGTAAAGCACTAAGCCTTAGTCTAGTTTCATAACTCTTTCGACTCTTTAATGATAGTCTAGATTCCTCAATAATCTCAATGTATACATCAAAATCTATCAAGTAAGAAATAACCAGGTAGGATTATATCGGAGGTGGGGTCTGTTTGGTATACAAAGTATATTGTTTGGAAATCCCACTTTAAACACATCATTAAATCCAGCCAAGACATCACTATCATAAGTTGATCAATTAGTATAATGACTTGAAATCATTGATAAATCTAATTTATAGGTTCACAATAACTACTTATGACTATAAATATAAGTTACACTGAAAGAAATATGCTATAAATATGAGTGTAGCTTAACTTACAAAGATTTTGCTGAAAAAGGACAAGAAATTATACTGGCTGAACTTCGGCCTACTAGCTACTAAATGTTGGGCTCTCAGGGGACCCCAGGGATTCGTCATAGACTAAAAAGGGAAATGGGCTCAAAATTGAGAGAAACTCGAGAGAGAAACGTTTGAATGGTGTGAAATTCAAATGAGGCACTATGTGGGTATTTAAAGTCGAAATTAAAGTGCACGTCGCGGACATGTCCCCTGTGTGCTGTGAATTCGGTCGGAAGTGATGACATTTCGTTTTCTGTGTGGTGCCACATGTCACATTCTGGGTGGTGTAGCAGTACGCGTCGCACATGTTGTCTTGCCCATGGCTGCGTGTGATAATTTTTGATTTTTTAGAAAATTCATATCTTCTTCATATAAGATCCGTTTTCAAAGGGTTTTATATCCACTCGTAGCTATCCATAATATCTACAACTTTCATTTAGACTCTGTCAACTAATTTTGAATTTATTTTTAAAGTTATAT